AGTTTTTATTATATGTAGTGTCGTTTGAAACACGGAATCTTACGAAAAATGAGGTAGTCGCAATGACAGACCAACTGGTATGTCCCGAACAAAATGGCACATTAACACATGCTCCCACCCGTGGGTATATATATGTACCAATGTGATTCCATGACTCCTTCTTCCTTTTGGGGCGAACATAGGAAATTTACTAAGCTAAATACGATCCAAGTATAGATGTTTTCAGATCGCAAAATGCAAAGAGGAATTTATGATGCAGAATCGTAAAAAACTGCCGGCTCCGTGAGTTCTGTCATTGTTGACATGATCATTATCGAATTCTTCTTTTCATCAGGTTGTACGACTACTGGAAAATTGTTCAAAATGCTCAGGCGACAGATGCTAGTAAACCTCGACGTCAGGGTGATTATCTATTGTTGGATGGCGTTCGAGGTGGAGCTACAGTTTCAGTTTTAAGTAGTTTGTTTACTAGATTTCGCTCTTTTTCATGAATTAGGTGGCAAATATATTCACTTTTAGCTTGACTTTCGCAAGTTGGCTGCAAAATTGGTGACCGTGTATGAAGTATTCGGTGGTGTTCGTGACAGTGCGCCATACGACTTTGAAGTGATAGATGATCCTGCTGAGAAAATCTGCGAAGAGGTACAGGCTTACACATCGAAATTTCAATCTTCTTGGAAGTACAGCATCGATTTTAGCAGCGCGAAGCCAGTTTAGTCCAAAGAAAGGAGTTTCTCGAATACAAACGGGATGTTCTCCGAGCTCAGGAGAACGAGCTGAGTCGAAATTGAGCGATCAACAGGATCGCAAGGTTTTCACGACAGAGGATGAGCATGATGGTGTTTAGTTATCTTTTCTATCTGGGTTTTCATTATCGCTTTAGTCCAGAAGTACGTTTCTTTGTTCAGTACTACCTCTTGATTTCTAAACTAACATTTAAATCACATACGCAATGGACCAGTTTTAGATCTCGTGTTGTGCCTTATTGCTTTTTGTTTTTTTTTCTTGCATGACATATATCTCTTTCTTTCTTATAAACACTGCAGACGATTTTTGCACATACCCGGCTTATCCGTGAGAGTTTTTGCCTTTAGTTCACATGTCATTTCAAATTTGCTTTCTAATGAAGGTATCTCAAGCAGTATCGCTGGAACATGCTCATTAGAGAATGTGAGTTACTTTCTAATCTTACTCATGTTTATTTACATGAAAAGTTTTTTTATGTATGCCTTTACAGTCGAATCATTTCATATGATCATGTGTGTCGCTGCA